CTTTTAAGATGTCTGGTTTCTTCTGTTTGCCACGGTTATAGTAGATGTGGGTTAAGTCTGTGTGTAGTGAGGTGAACCAGTGTGTCTGAGGATGAGAGCGAGGTGTTAAAAAGACAGAAATAGCCAGGTCAGGACAGGGGTAAGAAAGTTTATTAAGAGAAGACACAATTGTGAGAAGCAATAGTAGAGAACACATGTTAACCCCCTCCCGCCCGCCGAACGTTGAAAAACGGCCGGACGGGAGTCTTCTGGGTGTGGTCCAGCGTCTTTAAAGACGCCCGTTCGCTTGTATGCTGCATATCTACGTGCGCCCCCCCTTAAATCCCCTCGCCGCCCCCGCCGTCTTAGGAGACCCATGATGTCTCCATAGGGGACCTGTGTAATTTGATATCACATAGGGGAATTCTTATCCCCCTATGTGATAACAATAGAGTTAAGTGTAAAAAAAAATTGGTCACAAAATAAAATTTACAAAACACAAAAAAAAACTCAATTTTTTTTTAAAAGTCCCTCCCCCCACATAGATGCGCAAAAATGCATTAGTTGCGACTACATGCAGAAACGATTGCGGCAATTACGCAGCACTTGTTGTTACATATCACCGCAAACGTTGCAGTGAGAGCAATACTTCTAGGGCCATTAATCACTGGCAACACTAAACTGATGAGCGGTAAAATCTTTTAAAGAGTCGCCTATGGCCAATTTTGGGTATGGTAGTTTTTTTTTTATTTCGTGGGTGCACGCAATTTTAAGGCTTCACCTGTTTGTGTCTATGTACCCGACATGACCCCGTCTTATAATTGGGTAATAATAAATGTTTCCTAACATAATAAGGGGAAAATTGTTTTTTTCTTTTTTCTGTACTTTTTTCGTTATATAGCAAAAAAAAAAAAAAAAAAAAAAAAAAAAAACCCAGTGGTGATTAAATACCACCAAAAGAAAGCTCTATGTGTCAAAAAAAAAATGGTATAAAATTCATTTCAGTAGTGTTGCATGGTGGAATAAATGTCAGTCAAAATACTGCAGCGCTGAATACTGAAAAATGGCCTGGCCAGGAAGGGGGTGTAAACACAGCGGTCAGCAAGTGGAAATCAGATTTGAAACAGAGATGTGGATGGGGGTAAACAAGATTACCTGCAGTCTGTCAGGAGCACTGCTACTTTATTTTTGTGTCTTTTTAAAGTGGCTTTTTCTTTTTTTAAAGTACGCTTTCCACACTTATTTTAACAGACACTGTGTTTAACATGGACATTGAAAAGTGCATATGCCCCCTGGCCTATGGCCCCTGGCAAATGTGCCTTTCTCCATAAACATATCTAAATTTTTAGGACTATAGGGTGGGGATGCATACCAATTCCCTATCCCACCTCAATCTAACCAACCATCACATTCTCAAATGCCCACAGAGCCCACTTCTTCATGTATCACTTGTCCATCCCTTTTAGATTATAAGCCCTCAGGGGCAGGGCCCTCCTTACCATCTTGCCTTGAATTGTATTGTAATGTCTTCCTTATATTTTAAAGCGCTGCCAAAACTGTTGGCGCTATATAAATCCTGTATAATAATAATAAATCAATGAGAAAATTATAAAATAAAAAATAAAAAAAAGTCACATGGATCAAAAGCAAACTTTTCACACGAAGAAGAGCATAAAGGGCATAAAGATAGCGCATTTTAAACAAACAGGAAAGTGAGTGAATAATGTGGGCATCAAACATACATCTAAAGATCAAATCATAAGAAATGTTGCGACCAACTAGAGCTGCAACAGTTAATCGATTTAGTCGATTAAAATAGACGATTGAAAACGTTACCAACGTTTTCGATCGTCGATTCAACCAACAGACAGCAGTTGAATCAGGATGGAGCAGAGATTAAATCATTTTAGAGCATTTCTCGAGTTATTGTCAATATAGAGTGGACTCCTGGATTGGACAGAGAAGTTCCTGAATTCTATTTAATTTGTCCATCCCTGCCGCAAAGCCAGATTTTCAGTCAGGCCTCTACATTATGCTTGTACATAGCCATCAGCCACATTATTCTCTTATACCCAATACATGAAAATGGCAGCTCAGGTCTAAAAACAGTCCAGTATGGAAAACTGGCATGTTATAATGCACATGAGGATATCACATGTTCTGTAAAAATAAATAAAGCCAAACAAGGCACAAAGCCCTCATGCTTCCAGACTGCTGTTTATGGTAGTTAATTATGGGAATGTACACAGTAAGACGTCTGCTCTGCTTAGGAGGTATACATAATATAAGGAATAACATCATTTGGGGATTTCACAAAATAAAAAAAATAAAAAAGGACCCAAGGGATTATTTTGAGGTAAATTGCTGAAACTGTACACCAGTCTGGGAGACAATTGCCAGCCTCAGCGGGTAATTACTAATTACTACTATTGTGAATAGTCATCAGTGAATGCAACTCTCCCCTTCAAGAGTATAACAAATGTTGGTAGAATAGCATATTCACGTTCATTTTGAGGAAGTGCCAAGCTTCATCAAACTGATTAAAGAGCCATAAAATCATCACTAAATTGGGTAAGGAAAGAACCAGCAATAACCAAAAGCCGTCCTCACAATAGAATATATGTAACTGAGAATCACATTCACAGGTTTACATGTCAGCATTGCACTATAGTTGTTGCTTAAAGTCCTGCGACTAAGATCAAGAAATGCTTAGCGTTACCCTGTCACCTGAATTCAGATTTTCAGTTCTAGTGCCCAAGACTTGACACAGGTTTGCTCGTAGCAGATCCTCTAAAATAGGCATTTTTACTAACAGCTCTCATCCACGCAAACCCTTCTGTTTAAAATAAAATGTGTATTTGCTATGTAAGCACAAGTGTGGAAGACTTACAATTTCTATTTCTTTCAGTTCCTAGAAACTTAGGAGGTTGTTAAATGAAGAATTTAAACCATAAAATGAGGTGTTGCCCAATTCCACCAATCAAATTACAGCAGTCTGTTTCTTTGGGCTGTAACCACTACTTTTTCTCCAGAATTTACACATCTACGCAATTGCATTCTAGATCCAAAGCATAGATTTTTGACAACTGAAATGCTGGGACGTTCCCAGGGTTTACACAAAAAATCATGTATAACAGTAGCATAGTCTTGCATTTATGTAATTAGTTCACAATCACTAAATTTAAAAAAAAAAAAAACACGTGTTTTTAGGGGGCCTTCTAAGCCCTGCAGATCTGTATTTAAAATGAAAGGTATTCCATTTCACCGCTAACCTAGTCTCAAGCTTTCCCTGCCGCTATGCTAGAATGAGCAAAAAGCAACCCCCTCCTCTTTATTGGTAATCTGGTCTCCATGGAAACAAAAGCAGCTAGCAGTTGAGAGCAAAACAGATAGCCTGTCTGTGGCTTTATCAGAGAACTATGTGCAGAAGATAACAGGAACACCCTTTGTCCAGATAATAATGTGCAACGCATGGCAAGGCACCGGCAATGAAATTGGCCAGAATTTAGGTTGCACAGATTCTGATCCCTGAAGTGCAATTGTGAAGGCAGCATGCTGGATTGCTGTACCATTCCTGCACCTCAGATTCATTGCAAAACCCAAGTACATCATGGTCTAAATAGTAAGGAGTATGATTGCTGCACACAGGCAACTTTTTTGCAAGTGCATCAATTATCCTTGTGTTCTTTGTGATAAGCAGCTTGAATATGAAAGACTAAGATTGAAGTTGCATAAAAAAGATGGAGATCTTATCTCTACAATATACTCTACCAAGTCCATGTGCGTTAGTATTTTTACCAATAACAAATGATTGAGCCTAAAGGGTTTTTAATAAACATAAATCATTAAAAATGTTGAAGTTATGATGGATAAAAAAGTAAAAATGTCAAGGGGGGGTCTATAGATCGGCTTGCTTGTTCCCACATGACCATATAAATCACAAGAACTAGCCATTGATTGATTTACCAATGCGGACAACAGTATTATGTGTGAAATGATAGAGTGTGTACACGATCTGTATTTGCCTGCCTTTATTTTGTGAAGAACATTGTTGTGAATCTAGTTCTGGTTATGTAATGGCAGTTAACACTGACATTTCTGATGCATTTCAGTGGACCATCTGTAGTGCCAAGCATGTGGCAAGGTCACTGCACTGACTGAATGAGAGCACACAATGGGCTGTGTGCACCTGCATGTGTCCCTGCAGCACTCTGCCACACTGGGAACCTTATTAATGGCTTTTTATCTCCCCAATAATTATGGATTCAAGGTTCATAAGCTAGTTCTCTAGAACACACCGAACATCTATATTAGAGGATGTATTTATGTATATATGGCTTCTTGCTAAAAATGTGCATGAAACACGTGTCCCACTCTTGACGCACACACACCAAGTTTCACAATGCATATACTTTAAGCAGTTCTAAGTAGAGAAAGAAGCACTTTGGCCTAGGTTCTATACGGCTTCACATAAACCTAACTGACATCTGCTGCACCTTTTGTATTAAATAACTGCTACAGATGCGGTGTTATAAGATAATAAAATGTACACCATAAAGCTTCCTCTGTTAATGGTCACAAGGCTTAGTATCAGTAATGTACAGGTGATGCTTTTACCAGGCACTCGACCCAGGGTAGGTGTCAAGACTGGCCTTTTTTTTTTTTACTTAAAACCCAGCATCATCTTCATCCTGCACGACTCCCAGAGGACAAGCAGTGAGTCTGGGAGCAGAAGGCTATGAAAGCTATATCCATTACTGGCTCAGAGGAATCACTGACATGTCTCCCTGTGTCAATAGATGCTGAGAGAACTACTGCCGCTCTCTCCCCAGCTCTGCATCAAGCACAGGATGAAAGCCGCCTGACTGCCTAGAAGAAGCTTGCAAACAGACAAAAGAAAAAGCGATAAATCACAGATTGTACATCCTATTCATCCAAATGGACAGCGAATTGGCCAGAGATCTGCATAGATGCAGGAAAACACTGGTTAAATACAAGAATATAGAAATGCATTTACTTACATGACGATTCTGTACCAAACATGGCTGGCCTCAGATGAGGGTTTAATATATTAGAATGAGATGAGGGAGGAAATATAGAAAGCTTTCACACAGCAGGAATCATGAAGGCAGACAATGCAGTCCCAGCTATCCAGCTGCCAGATACCTTTCTCTAAAGCTGAAAGCTGCAGAGCACTCTCTCAGACAGAAACAAGCCTCTTGACGGAGAGACAAAATCATGAGCTTCCCTTTTCAATCCAATGGCCAAGCATAGGCCAATGTGTGTGTGTGTCTTGTATGATGCAGCGAGGCAGAAATAGGTAGCAGAAACCAGATACTGCAGTCCACAGCCCTACTCTCGTAAGACAATAGCACAGCTTATGCACACACTGAATGACGTCAGGACACTGCAATGACCGACTGCTGTTAACCAAAGGCTGGGGGGGTTGGATAAAGCAGAGTAATTCAAATAGGAATTCCTTTGTCACCAAAGCCACAGAGGAAAAAAAAAAAAAAGAAGACATCCCCTTTCTTAAGCGACAGCAATGAACCAGCAGTAGCCTTGCACTTGTGCATCCAAGTACCAGAGGAGTGATTCCCTTCAGTAGGGAATACACCCTGTGGAAATTCTGTCTGGAATATTTCAAGATTAAATTTATATACCAGTACATATTAGTTTTTTAGACTGTAGAACATTTTCATTGTACTTCCTCTACAGTGAATGTAAACATACATTACACAGAACTCAAAACATTTCTAAAATACACTATATTTTGGCTTTGCAGTTACACATACAATATATATTTGCAGAACGCAAACAAACAAAAAAAAAAAACCCTTGCACACATACAGGTGTGTCAGTTGATTTTTCTTTCTTTGTACAAATAGTTGTCGACATTCATAAGCCCCCATTCACACCTGAGCAATTTGAAACATTCAATGCTCAACACTCAGATTTTCATGTTATTCTATTAAGCCCATATACATCTCAGAGATGCATGGGCATTCAGCGCTCAGAAAAAGTATGAGAGCTTGTTTTGGGGGCAAGAGCACATTTTTAATGAGTAAAAACACGAAAAACACCTGAGTTTTGCACCCAACAACCATCTTCTCCTCCTCCTAGTGCAGTGGTGGTGAACCTATGGCACTTCCAGTGGTACGTGCTGTGCTCCGTTCGTCTGAAGCTGGTTTTGTAATGGACGCCCGATCAGCCTGCAGTTGATTAAACCTATAAGTCACTTATCTTTTAATAATGATTTTATCTTGATATACTACACTATATATCCCTTTGTGGGGTGGATCATTTGATCGAGTGGGGGAGCTCCTTGGATCTCGTTTGTTATCTGATGGGGAGAGAGGACTATCACCTTGTGCACACCGAAAGCGTGTGCGTTCCAGAGCGGATGCTCTATTTTTTGCGTTTGCAGTGGAATGCAAAGCTGGCAAAATTTGGCCACGCATTCAATCGCACTGCGGGAGGGGTGGGCGTGGAAGCGGTGCCATTTAACTGCCTCCGGGCCGGCCGTAGTAGAAAAACGGCCGGCCAGGACCTTCCTCGATCTGAGCGGGCGTCTCTAGACGTCCCGCCCCGCCCCCCGCTCAGGCGCGCTCCCGGCGCGATCAAGCCTTAGTGATCGCGGTGCGTTCCAACAGCTACCGCTCTTCGGTGTGAACAAGCCCTCAGCAAGTTATTCCCCACTCAAGGCTTCTTCTTGACTCTTTCTGACTGTGTGCAGGCAAGACTCTTCAACCTGTCTCACCTCCATTATTTAGAAGAAATGGTGGTCACACACTGAACTTTGACTGCACTTGTACTATAATCCCTTGGCATCCACACCATCCTCCTGAATCCCTTCCCTTAGATGCATTTTGCTCAGAAAGCGAGCTTAGAGAGTTGTACACCATTAATAAACTTGCCTTGTAAGCAAAATGTATCTAAGGGAGGGACAAGGACGGATGTTGAAGACGCAGAAACAAAGTACAAGTGCGTTGAGAGTTCAGTGTACAGCTTCCAATTGTGATTAAATAATTAAGTTAACAGAACATCTCGTTTTTTAAGCAAACGTTGAGCTTGGCTCTACCTCTGGAGACTTCCTATTGGTTTTCAATGTGATGGACAATCAAACCAATAGGAATGTTTAGTAGGTAGGATGGGGTAGAACCAACATTTTTTAACATGCCCTTTGTTCTCTGAATTTAACCTCTGCTTATGCACGTTATAATCATATACTGTGCCTAATTAGAATTGGCCAGGTTTGTGATCGTTTTAGTTTATACCCCACAGATGGGTTTGTGTCCTTCGCTTAGCATGTGTAATTGTTCAGTATGCAAGAGTAATTATATTTTTATGTACAACTTATCCCTATCACCCTTACAAATGAAAAAAAAAAATTGCAAACGCTAGACATAAGGTACCAACTTATCATATGCCTACCTGCTCCCTGAAGCAGTTTCCCTTCTAGTCTGCTCAGCTCCTTAACTCCCTTTCTATTTCTGTATCTGACTGCTGGGAGAGCAGGGCTTTATGGAACATAATGACAATCCTTCAGTGCCTAGGGCAAAGGTGAGGTAGAAAACAGAAAGGGAACAGAGCGCCACCTCCGTGGTAAAATCATTAGAATAAATAAAACAAGGAATAAATGTGTTCACAAGCAAACGTTTTCATCAGGCTTTAACAACAAACAAGAGGCCACACTGTCTGTTAACCCAACATGGTATCGCCACCGACTATGTAACTCTGAGCCCAATGTGATAGCAATGAAGTAAAATAAAAATAATAAAAACAAAAAAAGTTAAATAAAATAAAAAAAAACCAAAAAATAAATACATTTAAAGTCCTCCGCAAACATATTAATCGAAAAACACAAGTCGGGTGCATCAATGTAGGAAACTGAGGATGGCACTACACATCAGGTATCGCCGCATGTGCCAATTTAAACTGTAATTGAAAATTACAGCTGTCGTTGAAAATAAAGCTTTGCTAATTTAACCGCTTGCCGTCCGCCCCTTGTGAAAAAACGGACGGATGACAGACTCACAATTGCGGGTTGCCATCAGACGTTTTTTTTCCCTCCTAGCGGGCACGCCGGGCAGAAAAAACTTGCCCGTTCTTTACAGCCGTTACCGGCTGTTCCACATACAACCGATCAGCGGCTTTATAGCCTGCCGATCGGTTGTATGTTGCGATTTGCCTACCCTCCGACCCGTCGGGTGCCACAGCCGCCGCCTGGAGTGCCCACCCCTCCTGACCACTCACCTTCAATCCCGGGATCCGCTAGCCCATCTGCGGCCTGGGACCGGGTCGGGAGGGCATCAGGAGGTAAGATGGGAGG